CAGTACAGTGAGCGGTGACTGGCAGCTACCAGGACAGCACACTCTGCTGCCGGGACATTAGAATGATGTCACTCCAGTCAATAGTCCCCCTAGCTGGTACTCTGTAAAGCGTATGGGGCACCTGTAGATACTGCTAGCCATTTTATAGGTCAAATCAACATAAATGTATAAAAGAACATACAAAAGGATACAGGTTTTATGCAGTGCTGTATTAAAATCTCACTTAAGGTACATTTTGGACCACAGTTGAGTTTCTAATACACTATCAAAGAGCACAGTGCCTCACTTCCATTCTGGGTATTCATTTGCCTATACATGGAGTAGTGGTATAGGAATAATAAGATTACCTTCACTGGCCATGGAACCTACATTGGGCTCTCAGTACTAAGGTGTACTTTAATCATACAGGTGGACATAAGGGTGGTAGAATAAGTATATGGAAGGCAACCAAACTATTAACAGTCACAAAAAAGTGGGTCCTGCAGCATCCCAGTTCCAGCATCTGAAGCTGCGACTCCAGTGCATTGGGGCAATGATGTCAGCAAAAGTGAAAGAGAGCAGATTTGTGACTGCCATGCACAGCTACTGTAGGTCACATTGCCCAAACCTGCCAGCTTCAGGTCATATGACAGGGGACCCACTTTTTGTTGCCACACCCCAACCCTGCCTCTCCTAATGCCTGCTTTTGTGATTAAAACTGACCTCCAGGTTCACTTTATTGAGAAAGGAAATTTGTATCCGTTTTCTTTTCCAAAGTCTGATTAACAAAAAGATATGCCAGTAAATGTGCCTTTTTGACATTACCCTAAATATTGAAAATGTAAATATGATAATCTGTCATTTAAGGTCAACACACAGCCTTTAGCCAGCAATACATTTCTCACCATTTGTATGTTGTTTGGGGGTAATCTGCTTACTGTCCAAGGCACAGAAATGGTAACTAAAGGAGGAGTTTCACATTTTAAGTCCAACATCTACAAATATCCCTAATTTACTCAATAATTATTTTTACTTAATTTTATTTTCCCTGTTTCTTTTATAAGCACTCCAGTGAAATGTATAGATACCATCTTGGCAGGTCAGACATATGTAAATTATCTACTGCGTGCCCGACAGAGGTTTTCCTTTCTTAGTCCTAACTGGAACCCTGTGCAATATTTTTTGGGCACTACCTTCTGGTCATCTACTTGTATGTAACAAAGACCCTCATGCTGCTTAAATGTACATATTCTTAAGAGTCCTCCAGGCCCTCTACTCACATCAGTTTTCAGCAGAGCCTGGGCCCTTAAAGACAACACAGAGGCTCATTGCTGATCTGAAAAAGCATGGCTATCATGATAACCATCTTTCCTCATTACTTTAAGTGAATGAACATTTAGAGAGACAAGGTCTTTTAATGACTTTCCTGATCTGCATACTTGGCTATTATACTGACTGTCTGGCTTTAATACTCTGGATCAATGAACTAGAACAGTGGTTCTCAACCTTTCTAGGGCCGGGACACCTTGGTAACATTTGCCAAATTGTGGTGACCCGTAACGGTAAAATTTAGGGATGATGCGGCTGCTGCAGCGACATCTGGCGGCGTGACGGGAGAACTGACACTGCTGCACTAGGAGAGGCCTGAGGAGGACTTTCACCTAGCAGAGCAGAAATCACACAGCGACCTATAGGTTGAGAACCACTGCTATAGGCCAAGACAGGACCGGCTCTGCAGCTGGAACTAGAAGAATTGGATTTAAAGAGTGTGGCTATATAATGTATGAGGTACATACTCCGCAGTACTGTCACTGACAGAGCAGCCCATAGAGTTAAGTGTAAACCTTGAGAGTTACCCCTGATAAGATATATTTACTTCCCCTTCTCCAGTCTGTACTCCTCCCTCCACACTCTACTATGCTGGAGGACCTTGCGGTGTGTCAGTCATGTGACCAGCTCCTGGGGTGGGCGGGGCCGGCTGTGCTATGTGTACGCCGTACACCGTCAGAATAAAAAAAAACAAAAAACACCATAGGAATGCATAGCTAGATTCCTATTGGCTATTTCACTTTGCAATAGCAAACTAGCTATTGCACCTGCCCTCTGCTGCTGTCAATCACTAGAAGCAGCAGCTTCTGATTTGCAGCAGCAGAGGGTGGGTGCAATAGCTAGTTTGCTATTGGCTATTGCAAAGTAAAATAGCCAATAGGAATCTAGCTATGCATTCCTATGGTGGTTTTTCTGACTGACGGCGGCCAGCGGCGCCGATGTCGGAAAAAACAAAAAAAAGAGCAGAGAAAGGTTTACTCGAGCAGAGTAAACCTTTCCGGGAGAAAGTGTTTCTCTCCCGGGAGGCCGGGAGCCGCTAGGCGACCCACAGGTTGAGAACCGCTGAACTAAACTAACTGAACTAAACTAAAACCAATAACTAGCATTTTCAAAAAGTCAGCAGTGGCAGCCCAAGTATTTCTTTCATTACAAGTGTTGCTGCTGGAATACAGTCCAAATGGGTCAGACACTAGATCTCTGGTAAAGCAAGTGCTCAAGCTGAACTACACGTTTCTGATCTATAAACTCACCCTAGACTCTGCAGTAAATTTCAGGATTGTTTTGACCAAATGTGAAGAACGGTGTCATGCAATGCTGACTCCATGTGAGGCCTCTGAAAGATTTACTGTCTCTTTTAGAAGACACTTTGAATCCTACTTCCAGTGTATTCAAAAGGCAATAGTCATAGGATGGTTATATGCTGCATTTAGCCTGGCACAGGCTAGATAGAAGGCATGACAAAACAAAATAAGAGAACTGTTGTTCTCTATGCATTGATAGATGGGCTGTTTTAATGGGGTTGGCAAAAAAGTAGAAGATAATATATTATGTTGTGCTTTTTCCTGAAGGTTCTCTGAAGTCAATTCTGTGTGTGTGTGTGTGTGTGTGTGTGCGTGTGTGTGCGTGTGTGTGCGTGTGTGTGCGTGCGTGCAGCTCATCTCATCTGTCAGTGCTAAGAGAACTACAGTTTTGTGTCCTCTGGCTTCCTTTATCCCCTGAAAACATGCCAGTGCAGAGAGGGCAGAACAGAAACTAGTCCTTGCCCTGACTACACACAAGAACATTTGCCAAATATTAGGGTTGCACAGATACCAAGTACAGTACTTGGTACAAGTACCGATACTTTTAGACTAATGATTTCAGGACAGTGGTGGAATGCCAGAGCCAGGTCCCAGCTGCAACCCTGGTAGTTCTCATGAAAATGCCAAGTTTCGGCACTGGTACTCGAAAAGTATCTGTGCATCCCTACCAAATATGTCTGTGTGTATGGACTTTAGAGTAATGCAACGGTTATCTATTCAAATTTTCATTGTCATCATTGTAACATTATGCATATCAGCTTTCCACATAACATATGCGATACCCAGATATTCAAAAACTGCAAGTGTGCTACTGTCTGCAACAATAAAATAATTTTATATAAAACCTATATGTATGTGTGATTATGTTTGTATGTATATTGTATTGCAGGAAATAAGGCGTGTCCTAATATATAAGTTTATGATGATGTCTCATGCCTAAGGAACAAGAGTTCTGCAAAGTGCAAAACAACAGTTTCCAAATGTTGCCCCATTCCTAAATCTGAACATGTACCAGAAAACATTCTCATACTACCGTTAGTAGTACAAATTTATTTTGCATTTCTACACACATCTTAATGCTATTTTGGATGTCAAGTCAATCTAATTTTCATTATACCGTATATACTTGAGTATAAGCCGAGATTTTCAGCCCATTTTTTTTTTTGCTGAAAAGTGCCCCCCTCGGCTTATACTCGAGTCAGCGTGGTCCAGTGGTCAGGTTTCTTCTTACTTTTATAATTTTACAATTCACTGCAAGCGTCAAATTTATCTCAAAACATTGCTTTTGGGCTTGAATTTAAATAGTCAATGAACAGAGGCTAACTTTATGCGTTCATTAATTAGCTATTGTCTGTGGAACACTGTGCCTATAGCTATTACATAAAAAAAAAAAAAAGAGATCTCTTCTTTAAAGATCATGATGGTATAATAGTTTTGTGAAGTCACTAGTCAGTTTTGCTAAGGAAACATGATGCATGAAATTAAGGCAGCCTGAAGGTCAACAAGCCCATATGGAAAGGAACATGCTGTGCTAAATAATTAAATATAGATGAAGTGCTAACACAGGAATAAATATTTTTTTTCTTTGCTGTTTGATTAGAATTGATAGTATGGATGCTACTTCTTTTGTGGGTTATTGTTCTCTTGCTGGGGCTTGAAACAAAAGACACAACCAGCCGACCTCAGATCAGATTCCTCATGATTTAATCCACTTTCAATGGAGGTAATGAATAGTGGATTATGAAGTTCTCTTAGAGCAAATGGGATGGTTTCTATAATGTAGCTGTTGACTGCATGCCTTATATACCTGAGTTTCCTCACAATATAGAGGTTGGCTGATCCGCAGGAATCACTTAATGTTGGCTATAGCTCACTGTACTCCAGCAGTGCCTTATTGCCATTACAAAGTGTGACATCTATCTAAAAACTATAAAAATAACAGACAGTAATATTTAGCACCTAAAATATAAAGTCTACTTTGGAGGTAAATATACAGTTGCAGTGGTAATTTGGGGACAGGGAGATTAAGGGCATGTGTATGTTTTGAAAATCATGTGTAATGCGACAGCCACAATGCTCACCGTATGATTATCTGGTGTACTTTCTTGGTTGACACTGATATGATTGATGGAACTAATCTAGTTGTTGCTGTAGCCTTAAACCTCCATAGGGACCAGCAAGCTTCTCATTGAGCACAGAACTCTTTTCTGCTAATAGCCAGGACTACAACACCACAGGGGTACTCATTAAAACCAGGTGAGACTCTCACACACAAGACATTTTGGTTAGTGTCAACACAATTTGTACTACTTTTATTATAGGTTGCATGGTGCTTCTGAATCTAAATCATCTGCTCACAGCAAAGGGCACAAACTGTATTTTCCATTTTAGTACAACCTACATTATCCTCGTTTTTCTCCTAATTGCTGCATGTGGTAATGGAAATGTTTAAATGTTGCGATACAAACATGGCAGCAGTTATGCATTCTAGTATCAATGAAATCAAACTGACACTTCAGACTGTGGAAATGTCCATCTGTATGTAAATCAAGTACCACGCTGTGCACTGCTTGGGGTGAGATCAATACACAAAGAGAGAAGGATGCCATTAAAGTCTGGATCAATCTAACCTAATTCACTGGAGCACTACAGTTATATAACACACAGAAGAACTCAGGTTACCTTTTACACTTGATAGATCCTATGCAGGTCTGCCAGTGATCTACAGTTGCTCTCCTTAAGCAAAGCTCTATTCATCAAATGACCCCTAACACTAAGTTTCCTAGAAGCTACAGGGCAATGTACTGATATCCTACGTTTGCCAATGTGCTGCACTGGCATTGATAAAGTGGACCGTGCTTTGTAAGAAGGCTTTTGGGAATATAGGAGCTTTGAAAAGCTTGGCTTGGCCTTAGTCCCACCTTTCCTCTTTCTGAAGTGTAAGGGAGATCTAAAAGTTGGACCATTTACTACTACTTCCAAACATTCATCCTTTAACTCCCGAGGGCAGATCAAGCTTTCCTTTTGGGGCATCAAGATATTCACATATCCCAAGCCAGTACTTCTTGCAACACTTTCATTACTCTCTTTCTCTCCATGAGCTGGAGGACTTTCTAAAGGCTCCTTTTTCACAGAATCCTTGCTTCCATTGGCTCTCTTTGGTGAGCTAGCTCTGGATACTTGGGAGCACGGAAAGCATTTGGCACTATATGGCTTGCCACTTCCTCCATGCAATGGGTCTAAATAGTCTTGTTTCTCTAAAACCTGTATATCAGGACCAAAGTTCAAACTAGTTCTGTCTGTAAAAGAATCTCGACTTTCATAACCTCCTAGGTCAGCAGGTGCTGAACACTGATGAAGTGGCCATGATGACCCTTTGCAGTCCCCTTGATTCTCCTTATCTCCATTATCTTCCTGTCCCCCATCAAAAGAGCTCTCGGTTTGGTTGTTCTCTTCGGTTGTGTTGGATTGTGCAATAAGGTCCCTGAGAAACACTACAATAACACTGATGTTGTCACTGGAGCCAGCATCACGAGCTGATGCAACCAACTTATGGGCAACCATGCTGCTATCACCATTATTCTCCTTCAAATGGTCAGACACAACTTTTACTGCCTCTTCAGGGTTAACCGTATCATAAAAACCATCGCAAGCAAGAATAAGATAATCTTCAGATCCATCAAGGACAGTGGAAAAAGAGTCTGCCTCACCACAGATATATGGCTTATGCTCAGCATCCCCTGTAAGACAAGAAAATCAATATGGACAACATTACATTAAGCACATCATTACTATCTATCTAATCACCATATAGGTCCATATTAAAATAATGCATAGTAACCCATACAAAATTGTATCAGTAGTTTTTTAATCTGACTTTAAATGCTAAAAGATTAAAGCATAACTAAACTAGAGCAAAACTTGTTTTATTTTTGGAGTAGGGAGGGGATAGTTCCTCTATCAGGTTCTCACTGTTTTTCGTTTCCCCGATAGGGTGATTTACTCTCTCTAATTGAACTGATTTCCATTGACAGAGAATGAAAGCAAGAGTAAATTGCCACCAGAACAGATATAGAGGGGAAATCTTTTAATAAGGACACTTGTTCCCATGATATCTATGATAGCTTCCTGTGAGAGGGGGAACAGCTCAGTACATGGCTTTCTGACTGAACAGATGCAAAGCTTGGTCTGGCTGGAGGGTTGGGGGCGGCAGAAGCCCGTGGTGCTGTGCCCCCTGGGGGTGGCGTCCCAGGGGTGCATCAGAAAATCACTAGGGTGTGGGACCCCACAAGTGATTCACTGTGCACTAGGACATGACACCATATTGCTTTTTTTCTGCACTTCGCCTCCAAGACAGGCCTTATGGCTAGTCTGGGGCAATATTTTTTGCAGGCCAGCCCCTAAGGCCTGTCCGAGTGGTGCACTGGCACTTTAGCTTTATTTAAGCACTATATGCACGATTGACACTTTTTTTATTTTTAAATTGACCCGCGGGTGCAGGTTCCTTTGGGGCCTTGTTCCTGATGTTGGGAGGAGATTCTGTGCCCTTATGTAGGGTTCTCCGTCTCCTCCCACCCAGGTGGGGGGGTCTCTCTTCGGGAGAGCCCCCTGCCTAGTACTGTGAGGGACCTGTTTCGGCAGGTCTCCCAAAGGATCGGGGTCCACCGGCCTTCGGGTTGGTCTACCAACAGTCTCAACCCCTGTCAGGAGCCTTGCACCCCGGGGGGTCGGGAATCGAGGTCCAAGGACCAAGCACCCTTGTGCACGTTTTTGTGTGCTGTGATTTCACGGTTCACTTTTTTTGTTCACAGGGGGAAGTTTGTTTCGATGTACGTTCCACGGGATTCAAAAGAACTTGTTCCCATGATATCTATTCACACACATTGCAAAAATATCCTCCCACTTCCTGTTGAGTCTGCATGATAGAAAGTGAAAGTGCGGAAGTCTCTGTTTTGCACCCTATCTTTTTTTTTCTTCAGTTGAAGTCTAAACATATTTTGCATATTATTTTTTTTTTTTATCAGAAAGGGCTTTATTATGCAGCAGATATGAAATACATATAATAATATTCCTTAGAATTTCCAGTGCAATTTTTTAAAAATTGTTCCAATCTCATATATTTAATCTTACATTCTATTATTTGTTACGGAGCAGAGTGGTCAACAGTTTGCTTTCCAGTATTAGATACCTTCAAGCGGGCAGTAGCCTGCTATATGCTGACTTTGGGGGTCACAGGAGTAGATGAGAGAGAAGAGAGAAGACAATGAGGGAAATGCTATCGTAAAACAAAAGTTATACTCTAAATTATGGTCTTTTCTTTGTCATTAGGCATATCCGCCTGTGCACTGCATTTCCCGCTACTCTACAAATGCACACGTATTTACTTGCCTCTGCTGCACCAATGCACCCCTCCATAGTCATCCCAGTTAATGAATGAGCACACTAATCCTCGCAGCAGATAAAATAAAATAGCCATGTTTACTAGCCTGCGAACCAGTGTAAGCATCATGGAACCTATAAACCGTTTTTAAGAATTTTGTTTTCAAGGAGAATCGTCACAAAGGAGCTTCACAAGTCAGCAGCTTGAACATTAATGCGTCAATCTGTATTGGTATTAGAGTTATAGGCATTTTAAGGCCCATTGACACTTTGCCATCCGTGTGCGTTGCGTTAACTTGCTTTCTGTCACATGTTAATGTGCATTGCAGTAAGGTAGCCTATTCATTTTGAATGGGCTGCCAACGCACAAGAACAGAGGGGGAAAAAAAATCATGCACACGGCATTCTTTTCGGACAGCGCACCACAACCCATGTTCTCCCTGTGCTTGTGTGGGTTTCCTCCGGGTACTCCGGTTTCTTCCCACACTCCAAAGACATGCTGGGAGGTTAGTTGGCTCCTATCTAAAGAGGCCCTGTATGTATGCACATGAGATAGGGACCTTAGGTTGTAAACTTCTTCAGGACTGGGACAAAAGTGTGATTCATCTCTTGAGATTTACTGGCCACACTTACCAATTAAACATTCACCAGCACAGCAGTTGTTATGGTGTTCGTTGGCAGGTTCAAAGGCAGTTGGGGGCAATAAAAACAGTCAGTATTATTACCATATTTTGTGTTCCATAAGATGCACCGGACCATAGGACGCAGGGAGGTCCGGTGCGCCTTATGGAGCACTCGACAGACCGTAGCTTCTGTCACAGAAGCTGCAGTTAGTGACCGCTGAGACAGGTGGCGCAGTGATTACAGCGACAATGTCTCAGTGATCACACAGCAGACAAAGAACGTCCGTTCTTCGTCTGCTCTACGGTGATCTCGATCACCGCCGGTGCCGATGCTCGGTTTTAATACAAGGTTTTAACACAAGCTCGGTTTTAATACAAAATCATATCACTTGTATTAAACGAGCAGTGGCTCCTACTGTACATTTAGCTCTGCTTTAGCAGGGCTAAATGTACAAAAAACTACTCGCCCCACGCCCAAAACTGCATGTATCGGGCGTCGGGATTCGCTCCATAAGACGCAGGCACATTTTCCCCCTCCTTTTGGGGGGAAAAAGAGCATCTAATGGAGCCAAAAATACGGTATTTAAATCCCAGTTTGGAGCAGAGCAATATAAAAGGATATACTTACATCCATTCTTTTTACCTTTTGCTTTTTTGCTAAAACCGTGTTAATTTAAAAAAAAATCTTTAAAACACAATAAAATAATTCAGACTAAACAGTCTCTTGTTAAATGAATAGACTTCCTGCAATAATACAATATGTGCAACAATAAAATACCTGACATTTTAAATGCAAAGTATTTATGAAAATGTACATGCTTACATGCTGTGTACAGCCTACGATAGATGCATTGTTCACTTGTATTTCACCTTTCTTTGAACCATCAAGCTTCACAATAAAACATTTTTGCAAAGAGGAGCACGTGTCCTTGTTCCTACTTTGGCTTTTCTTCTTAGTTACTCTGTGTTATATAACTGGCTTAGATACAATTCTACCTATCAAACTAAAAAAAAAATCTAAAACAAGTCTTATTCAAAAAGAAACATCTTCCACCAGGGCCTAAGATATTTAAAGCATTGTACGACCAAAAGCTAGAGGACAACAATCTTTAAAAATAGGAAAAAGGAAAGAGCGATGCTTTTATCCCAATAAGTATAAATCCTTATGCAATTGTAAGTTAACAGAATTTGATTTTAAAAATACATTCCATACTTTATGCTGATTTTTATGAGGACTATTATTACAATACCAAGTTGACCAGTGTTACCAGGTCAACAGTTTCTCAACAAATATGACCAGGCCTATATCGTTTATATAGTAAAGTGCTGCAAAAACCTCTTCAGAAAGGACATGATGTTAAAACAAGTTATCAGCCAGAAATCTTCAAGTAAAGGATAACAGAGCTGTGAGTAACCGAACAAAACTATGACCATCACTAGAAAGAACTTTCAGCTAGATAAAGAGTGTGAGCCAACAGACATGAACCTGTGCGTTTTGTAGCGCTTTCGTACGCTCTGCAAAATGCTCAAACATCGAAATCCTATTGTTTCCTATGGGTATGGTTTACACCTGGGCGTATTTCAGGCCGTATGAACGCGCTACAAAACGGCCAACACCCAAAGAAGTACAGGAGCTTCTTTGGGGCGTAGTTGATGCGCGTATCCATCGGGATACAGCCAGGTAGCCCTTGGAAACGTGTGTTTGTCGCGTTGTTTTTTACCGTGAATTGTGGTAAAAACGCGCGCCACATATTCGATACGCCTAGGTGTGAACCCAGCTTTACCGTGCCTAAATCCTTTGTAATTGAAGAGGTAAAACATCTCACATCATCACTGATCACTTTTTTTTGTCTTTTATTCCAAAGGATATATTTTAGACAACATGCCTTGCTCTAACAGAGATACTTTTGCATATCAGTCGGAAAGTCAGGTACTTCAAGCGCATCTAAACAAAAAGGTAATATATTGCAGCTTACCAGTACATTTTCAGGCTGGTTTTACTTTATTTTAATTTGTGAATCCTGGGAATAACATATGTTCAGTCCAAGGTTGGCTACACTCACTCACTTACTTATTTGCATCTATGGAGGATGCTCTCTTGATTTGGATTACAAACACATCTTGAATTTTTCATTTCCATTTCGGGGGGGGGGGGGGGGGGGGTTTTGGTGTTAATGTCACGTGAATATCAAGTCAAAAACTTCTACAGAGCGGGGAAGGATTAGCCCCCAACTCTGTAGAGATTTTTATCCTGGTGACAACAAAAACAACAAATGTTTATTTCTGTATGTGTTGCTGTAGGAGAGCCCCCCCAATTTCAGAGTGAAGGGTCAATCAAAGTGACATCCGTGTTCCCCAGGGAGGGTCAGTATGTCCATTGGGTACTTCCACATGTACAGTCACTGAGGTCCATTCTAGGGTTGCACAGATACCAAGTACAGTACTCGGTATGAGTACATGTGCCGATACTTTTGAGCTCCAAGACTAGACTAGAGAAAAATTCAAAA